GAATAGGGGGTCGTAGGCAAGATTTTAAAACCCCCCCCCCCCCCGGGTTCTCCCCCCCCCCGCTGCGCTAGGATACCCACAGCGCGGCGCGAGTCGCTCCGCCCCCACACAGGCATGCCCGAACCGCCGCCCTGCCCCGACGGCTGTCATCGCGCACGCTTACAGCGCGTTTCCTGCCCCGCGCAGAAACACTACGCATCGCCTTCGCCAACCGCAGCACTGAAACTGCGGCCTACACGCTCCGCGCCTCATTAGGGCTTGCCGCCCGCTTAGCGCACTGCCTGGCCCCATGCCTGTTTGATCCAGGCGCTCCCCTTAAGGTAAGCAGGGTACAGTACAGTACTGCATTGTCCCATGCCTGTTTGATGGGGTGTTTGATGATCAAGCTTTGATCCATGAGTCCCCCGCAAGGTAAGGAGGGGGTACAAGTACAGTACACGAAGGCGTAAGGATTGGGAGAGCAGTCCATCACAAATTTTTCTTCTCTTGAGATCCAGCAGTGTGAGTCCTTCCAATCACGCCGTCCTCGTCGACCTCCGATATTCAAATCTTGCTTTTAGGCCCGTGCACGTTTTAGGTTTCGCTGGAATGCCAAGGCGAATTCTTAATTATCGCGTCGCCCCGTCACTGACCGCACCCCTCCGTTGAGCGGAGCACTGCGCGGAGAGGAACGGAGCCGGGGGGGCCCCCTACTCCCATCAGCGGCTGTGCTTGCCGTAGCCAACGCACAGATGCGTATCGTACCGTGCTACAGTAAAGTACTTTACTGCATTCTCTAACAGGGCGGCATACGCGAGACACGGCGGTCACCTAGCCACGTATCCGCACTCGGGCCAGTCTGTTTTCAACAATGCTACACACCTGCACGGTGCTCATTTTATAGATTTGCACCCAGTGCACTATTGCTGACGTCGGACTCGCACGTGTACCAGACAGGAATCGCGTGGTCACTGCTTTTCAATGACTGTACTGTATTTATTTCAAATTCGCCCACTGTATGTCACTACCTACTGTACTGCTGCGTAACGGTCCCGCTTCTACTGTAAGTCCGCGCAACTTGACGGAAGCCGCGCTACCTCCGCGCGATCTCCGCGCTGCCTCTGCGCTGCCTCCGCACTGCCTCCGCGCAGCCGCCTGCGAGGCGCACATGGCGCCGCCTCACGTCCCCGTCCTGGCCGACACTCTGGAGAACAGCCTGGGCCCTGCAGACCTATGCCTCCTCTGCGCGTCGTCGTTCACCTCGCTCGGCGGCGGCGCCGTCGCCCCATCGCGGTCGCCGCACGCGGTCCTGCGATGCGCGCCCTCCTTCAACGCGCACCCGCTCAGCCTCTTCCACGCCGGCCTGCGGCGGAACACGGCCAGCGTCGGGCCCATGGGGTTGCGCCCAAAGTAGTAGTCCTGCGTCCGCACGAACGCCAGCACCACCAGCTCGAGCACGTCGCCCTTGCACGCCTCCACGTCGCGCACCTCGTCCGCGAGCCGCTGCCACCCGTACCGCACCGCCGCCTCCGTCTCGGAGAGCTTCATCTCGTTGCGCAGCCGCCGGTCCACCTCGCGCTCGCTCACCTTCTTCTTGCGCCCCTCGTTCACCCGCATCGCCTCCACCTTGGCGCTGTAGTACTCGCGCTCCTTGAGCGCCGCCACGCACTCCGAGTGCAGCGCCCGCGCCCCGCGGATCCGCTCGTTGAACGCGCGGAGCTCCGCCGTCGCCCGCTTGCGCTCGGCGCACAGCGCGTGCTCGCCGGACGGCGCCCGCACAGACTTGCCCGCCGCGTGTAGGTGGTCGGCCATGTACCGGTTGGGGTGGTCCGCGTCGTACAGCTCGAGCGCGTGCGCCGCCACCGAGCACAGGTTGTGGCTGAGCGCACGCCACGTCTTGTCGTTTTCCTCCACCGACACCTGCAGTTGCGGGAACCACCGCTGCAGCTTCTCGATCTCCTGCCCAGCCTCTCGCAGCTGCTGATCCGTCGCGAGCACCGTCTTGTCGCCCATGCCGTAGAGCGCAAGTTTGACCGTGTGCACCACACTCAGGCCCAGCGGGCTGCTTGACTTGCGGCTGGGGGAGTCCATTTGGTGGGGGGGCGGGGGGAGCAGGAAGTCGCGCCGCCAAGGGGGCTAGATAGGAAGAGGGGTGTAGAGGCTGGGTGGTCGGAGGCAGCAAGCTTTATACTCGTGAACAGGAAAAGCAACGAGGGAGGGGTGACGCTTCGTAGCGGAGTAGGCCACGCAATTTGGAAGAGCAAAACTGTGACGGGTTCTCATCTCATCACGTCCATCATGATGCACGCGGAATAAGTTGGGCGATGGATGACCGATGAGGCGACTTGGTCGTACACAACTCGGCCTACGTGAACGTTAGGCCAATTGGTCCTGCGGTTGAATGATACGTGCGAACGCACAGCCTGAGACGGGAATGGGTGCGGCGGTGAGTGATGCATGGAGGCATGGAGGTGCATTCGGCAGCCCTGGTCGGTGCCGCCAAGCGAAGTTCGTTCGCTGGTGTGCTGGGAGAGGTTGCGAAGGATACCGGGAGTTTATTTTTGAGTGCATGAGAGCTGGCCAGGAATGCGGGGAGAGCGCGAGTAGGGAAAGCGTGCTGCATTTGTTTACCAGTACAGGTATCGTACAACAAGACCGCGGCGACAGCGAAAGAATGCTACGGCGAGCGCCGTAAAATCAAGCATCGAGTGGGAGCGACCGATCGCCAGCCAAAAAAAAATCGTGGCCCGCCAGCACATGGCCCCCCCCCCCCCCCCCCCCCCACGCACCCCCCACGCAACTGCTGCAGAGAGACATAACGTTAACCTGAACCGTCCCTAGGCCCTGTCTGTCTGTGCGATATGGCCGCGTCCCCCGACCGCCTCATCCGCGTGCTGCCGTGCCGGCACGCGCTCTGCTCACCGTGTCTCGAAGCGTGGGCAGTGCATTGTACGAAGGCGCATCTCAACCCGGCTCGCTTCGGGATCACTAGAGGGGGGCAGGTCGTGTCGTGGACGCCCGGGCCCAAGTGTCCCTTGTGCTGCGCGCGGGTTAACTGCGTGCCGGACGAGGACTTGCGGCAGGCGATTATCGCCGCCATTCATCAGAGGGGGTCCGCCATTAGCAATTTTATTGCGTACCAGGCCAGAGGGTCCTCCGCTACCGCCTTGGCAGAGGAGGAGAGTGTATAGTACTGGTGGGAGAGGTGTATTATATTGAAGGGGGGAGACGAGCGGACAAGCAGTGCGCGTATGTTGAATGGTGTGGTGGAGACAGAAAGAAGGCATGGGAATGTGTTGCGAGATGGGCCACCGATACTCTGCGCGATGATGCGAATCCGGCTGCAGAGCGCAGAGACGCTTGCGTGAAAAGCCGCTGTCCGTCTTACATTAAAACACATGTCCCATCATCATTCGGTGCTACCGGCAAGGCTGACAGTACTCTCCGTCAAATTCTCCACTCCAAACCTTGCTGGACTCCTCACCTTGTTTCGCCTCCCCGACCACCTCGTTCGCCACTCTCCCTACCCTGCTTCTCCACCCCCCGCCGCACCCGACATGTCCGACGTCCATCTCGGCCTGCAAGCCATCACCTCCGAGCCCTCCAACGCTCCGATCATCACCCGCTTCATTCGCTTCTTCCTTGCCGTTGCCATCCTCCCTCCGGCCGTCTACTTCCTCGTCTTCAACCTCACACCCCTCACCTTTCCCCTCTCCCCATCAACAAACGCGGGCCTTGCCGCCGTCTTCGCACTTAACGCCCTAACAGCGATCTTCGCCCTCATTGCAGTCTTCGAAAGGGCGCCCCCGCAGCAGCCCCTCCCGCCTCAAGACGAGCCTGTCTCCGACCGCCCCAAGGACGAATAGCGCCTCCCCTTCGCAATGTCTCGCCCGCGCCACGAGCAAATCGCCACGCTCCAGGCATTTCAGGAAGCCGATCTTCATTCCCTGCGCGAACGTCTCTCCGAGCTTGACGCGCGCATCGCCCAAGCCGAGGAGGCCGTGCTGCACGCCGCCAACGTCGCCTCCGCCGCGCGCGGCCTCGTCGGCCAGCGCGGCGGCGTCGCACCCGCCCTTCTGTCCAGCACTTCCCGCGCGCGTCCGAAGCAGCGCCTGTGGGCCCGCAAGGACGGCACGTACGCTCGCCACGATGAACATGCCCCGCCAAAGCCGCACGTCCTGATACAGCCATGCGGCGTTGTGTACACCGCGTTCCAGAAGCGCTTCGAGGCCCCGCGCCAGAGCTTCACGGGCGCGGCAGGGAAGGCGAGCGTGTGGCTCACAAATGGGACGCATGTGCTGCACGGGTTGAGCAAGGGAGACCGTCTGTGGTTGGTGTACTGGTTGGACCGCAACGACGGGCTATGGCGCCATTTCGTACGCCCGCCGCGCGCGAAGGGAGGCTGGCGCGTAGGCGTATTTGCGACGCGCTCCCCGAACAGGCCATCCCCCGTGGGGCTGAGCCTTTGTGTGGTGGAGAACGTGGATTTGGAGAAGGGGTGCCTGCAGGTGGGAGGGGTGGATATTTTGGATGAGACACCGCTCCTGGCGGTGAGAAAATACGTGCCGGAGGAGGAGGCGTGGCCCAGCGCGAGGGCAGGGTGGATTGACGAGATGGAGAAGTTGCAGCCATTGTACTATGACGAGTTGGACGGATATGGAGGTGTCGCGGATTGGGAGGTTGTCGTAGAGGAGGGTGCGGGGGAGAGGATTGAGTTTATTAATGAACGGAGTGCTGTAGATGTGGTTGACATGATCAGGACATCACTGGAGAGGGTAGACGCGGGGGAGGCGAAGGAGGGTGGGGAAGAGGGAAGGAGGGAGGTTGTCGAGGGAGCGTTACCTGTCGGGGCTTTTCGCGTTTTGTACGAAGTGAGGAGGGCGGCAGGTGCTGTTGTGGTGAAGCAGGTGGTGTCGGGGATGAGACGGACCGTCTGCGAAGAGGAGGCAGCGACTGATCCAGAGGCCTTGGTGCATTTGGAGTTTCAAGACCGGTTCCCATTGTGACAATTCGCATTCTTCAGGGGACATAATTCAGTTGCTCGACACGCTTCATAACAGCGCACTACAGACGAGCGAAAGTGACCGTCGAAAGGCTAATAATCTACTGTGAACATTGTCAGATGGGACAGAGTCAATGTAAAATAATACGGTACTACTACGGTATATCCCGCCCTTTATACTGGAAGTCTATTTTCGCCAACAGCAAAGACGACACTTTTTCTTCTCGACAATATCTTCTTCGTGTGTGTCTTCGCTTAAAGAGGTAATTGATTTAAAGACATCAGCCAAATCAGCAGAATTTAGAGAGTAGTCTGAAACACCAAACTCCTCTCCTCGTTCCTCCAAAACTCTCACAGCTTGAATAATTTCAGCCTCGAGCCCGTGCCTTGGCAAAGAATAAGATGCCAAGAACTCCTCGTTCTCACCAGGTTTAAGCGATGAGAGTGCTGCGCCCGGACAAACTACACTCAAAGCAGCTGCTAGGCTCGCAGCAGTGTTCTCATGTTTGAGTTTGGCTAGCAGTGTATACCCGGCACCAAATTTGCTCTTCAAATGCATCGCCTTTCCGAGGACACGAAGTTTACCTTTTGCCATGATTCCGATCGCGTTGTGACCAGCGATGTGTTGAGCCTCCGCGATTGAATGAGTAATCATGAAAACGACCCGCCCCCGTTTCGCTCGCTCAATGGTACCCCATAGATCCCTTCGGACTAAAGGATCAGCACCCGACGTGCATTCATCAAGAAGCACAATTTTTGGATCCCCTGTCAAGCTGATTGCAACGCTAAGTCGTCTCTGCATTCCTCCAGAGTATGAGCCCGCCCTGATGTTGGCCTGTTTTGTCAAGTGGACATCAGCCAGTCGCTCTGCGATTTCCGCAGCTCTCCTCTTTTTGTCGAGGCCTTTCAAAGCCGCAAAAATCTCGATATGCTCAGCTCCAGTAAGGTTATCCCAGAAGATATCAAACTGGGGGCACACTCCCAGCAACTTGCGTACTTGCGCTTGGTCCTTCCGTACTGACAGCCCAAAAATCGACGCATCTCCGTGTGACGGTGCTAAAGAAGTGACAAGCATGTTGAACAAGGTTGACTTACCCGCCCCATTATGTCCTAACAGAGCAAACGCGGTATTCTTCTTCACACTGAACGATACATCGTCGACCGCAGCCAACGAGCCGAAATTCTTTGAGATATTCTTGATAACCAAGGGTGCAGTATCGCGGCTACCACTCAGTACCGCCTCTCGTTCGGCGCGGACGTCCTCATCCTCAGCATCTGGGTTGTAGGTTTGATGGTGTGCTTTTCCGTGTGCCCCTAGGGCTTCATCACTGTCGCTTGTTGATGCATGGTCTTTTCCGTGTGAATCGTTGAACACGGCTTCGCGGTTTTTGCCTAAACCCCAATAGCTTGGCTGGAGGAAGTAGGTATAGCCGAGGGGTGCCCCATGCTTGGAAGGTAGAACGTTGTCCAGATAGATGGAGAGAATAAAGGTGATCAGGCCGGAGGCAAGCATCCATAACCAACAGTCCTTGATAGGAAAGATGGTCGTGTATGTGCCGGCAGACGCAAAAGTTAATTTCTTCCCGATGTTGGCAAGGACGTTTGCATCTTCAAGGGCCTTGATGTACATCGTGGATGGGGCAATCGCAAATAGCTGCCTGAGAAATAGAACATTGTCACCAACCAATGGCTTCCCGTTGTCATCCGTCGCGTAAACAATGAGGCCAGTGTTTGAGATGACGTAGCCGAAAATGAATAGATTGAAGGCCACAGTCGATACAGACTCTGATCTTCGGGTGAGTGTGGCAACCAGCATCATCCATCCAAGAATACTAAGGGCAAACAGGTACATTGTGAGAAAGTAGACAGAGAAATCGTGTACTTCGAAGAACTTGAAACTGAATATGTGGCCGAAAGCGATCAAGAGCAAGGTGAGAACAAGGGTGAGCACTATGTACGGGATGCCCCAGGAGATGTAGTGTTGGCTCTGAAACTGGCCAGCCAGTTTCATGGCATCCCGTAGGCCTCTTTCGCGCTCCTCCACGATCTTGTACAAGAAGAAGACGAGAGCGAGAAAGTAAACTCCAAAGGTGAGAAGAGCGCCGTAGAGACCGAAGGAATCAAGGGCGCCTGTATCAACGCTGGTAATAATGGGGGGATGCGGGAAAACCGATGTGTTAATGTTGATATTGACGTCCTTTCCTAGTAGCTCGGTCATGAGAACGAGATTCATGGTGTGTATCATGGCGGGAAGTACGGTGCGAGTGTGGAAATCGGTGCTTCCCAGCGGAAATTCGTCCTGGTTGGTGTCATTGTACTGGACGATGAATTGGACATTATTGTCGGTGTGATACGCATTAAGGGAATCTTGATCAAAGATGTAGGCGGCCTGGGTGCGGTTCGGATTTTTACGAAAGTGTTGGTTAAGAGCGTCGTCGTCTGAGAATTTGATAATCTCTGCTTCTGGAATATTAGAGCGGGAGGCGACTTGGAAAACCCAACGTTTGACGTCATCGTTGTCCGGTACATAGGCAAGGGTCCAGCAATCGTCAAAGGAATGCGGGACGCATCTCGGAACGCCCACGAGCGGATGCGAATTAGGGTCGGGGGTATCGAGCTTCTCGGGTTCGAAGCTGTCGCCGTTGTCGATTGAGATTTGAGAAAAGTAGAGGATTAGCATGGAAAAGAACGCGCTGGACACGGTGACGATGAGCGGAGATATGTCTCGCAGGGAGAGCAGAACGTTCTTCTTGACGAGGATGCGGGTGGCGAAAGCATAGTGGCGGAATGCCATGGCGCTTGCAAAGAGAGCGGGCAGCAGACGGTGGGCAAATGGTCAAAGATGCGGGTGCGAGATGCGCGGGTGTGCCGCCGAAGTATTTAACGGCGAGTGGGACGGGGGCCTGTGACGAGTGCTTGTCAATACATGAAGACGTGCTGGTGGTGGCGGTGAGCGGATGGAGCGCAAGGAAAGCACGAGATTTACCTTTACCATTTGATTCCCAGAAGCAGGAAGGGCACTGTACCGGAAGACTGCCCGAGTCGGTGCTGTACCTTTCGCGAAAAAGAAGGGGAGACTCAAACTTGAGTTAGATTAGACATAAAAAAAGTACACTGTACTACAGCACAAAGAAGATAAATTTCTAGAATACCATTAAAATTTCCAACGCAGTGCTGGTTGGAAAACTGCCAAGGTGTCGTACAGCAATGTCGAATGGTTTGCCCCCAAAAAAAAAGATAGAATCGGACTTGTTCGCTGCGATTAGAATTTGGACGCAGTGGCATCAAGGCCGCGAAGTGGAGATATGAATGAGGCAGGACCATCATGGGTGCGTATCCGGCTGCCATCATGGCACTGCAGCGCAAACGGAGCATAGCGGACCAATACGTGGGCCCTGAGACGCAACAGTTCGTCTCAGCACGGAGCAATTTGGCGAGCGGGAAAATCGAGCAATTCGGGACGATACGCATCTCGCGACGAACTGATTGATGCAGTTCCTCTTCAAAAGCGTACATCTCCATTACAGTAAAACCTCATTCCACCAATAGTGGGCCTTCTCCGGCCTCGATTCGCGGCTGACACCATCTGCGGGTGGGGATGTGTTTTTTTTTTTTTTATTGAGATAAAAGCCCCAAACGCGTTACGTTACGGCGGAATCTCCATGTGAATCGAGAAACGGCTGTTTTGGTGAAAACACTTCATCACAGGGTATCATTAAGGCATATCCAAACGCATACAGTAAGGTACAGCAGTGCTGCCGCAGGCTGCGGCGCGCAGCATAGCGCCATGTCTTCTTGCGCTTGTCTAATGACAGAAAAAGAAAAGAATTTTCTTTTTTCTGCGAGGAAGCTCACTTCGCAATGACGCCCCACGATACACCAGCGACTTAACGATACCCTTGGGTACTGCACGATACAGTTAACTAAACGCACTGCCTGCCACCGACCAAACCATAACGCCGTGTCATGCTCTTAGTAAATTGCGCTAACTGCGTGCCTCTTGCACCTCACGAAGCACTCGGCACTACAGTACAGCGCCACCGATATTGCGCTGGATCGATCAAACTCGTGTCCTGCCTTGGCCCCTTTTCCGAATCCTGGTAGACTGTACCGTGCCGTTCGTAGAACACACGTGCGACCACGCGCTTTGTGTTTGAAAAGCTCCCGGAACATTTCTGGCACGTCGGCAACTCCATCCCCATCGCAGCGTAGACACATAACGACTTGCCCAACAGTCGTCCAAGATCCAACTCCTCCATCACCGCCCACGTCACAGCGACTCATACGCCTCACCCTCTCCACATTAGTAACCTGCGCTATCATTGCTGTCGCCGTTCTTGCCCGCCCTCCCCATCTATTTAGTCACCGCCTCATCAACCCTCTACCAGCCCCGCTGACGCTTCCATCCTCTCCAGCCTCACCCCTTTCTCTTCCACCATGGCCCGCTCCCAGTCTTTGTTCCGCACACAGACCAAGGGTCTTCTGTTCCGCACATGGCACTACCAACGTCGTCAACACTGCAACACCTTTTGCAACTTCATCATCCCTCCATGCTTCATGCTACTGCTCTTCGTCCTCGGCCGCGTAATCAAGGCCCGAGAAGTCATATCCTTCCCATTTGAGCGCGCCCCGAAAGGAGCCTTTGTTCCGCGCCCATTCAATCCCGCCCAGTGCACCGAATCCGTCTTCGATTCCGCCGTCGAGGATGGCCAACTTACTAATTCCGAGATCCAAGACTTGATCAACTGCGGCGAAAAAAGTTTTGACCGTGGATACGAAGTTCCCGTCTTCATACCTCCTAAACTCAAGACTACAGTCGGCGGCAGAGATGCCGTCAATCCGGACTCTGCCACTGACGAAGGCCTGTTGTCACATCTATCACTCGAACCTTTTATCTATCCTCGCGCCTTGCCCGGTAATGATTTCTTTGAAGACCAGACTCCCTACGATGGCATATTCTTGCACTCCTACTTTCGCGGAAACCGTACCAACCTTGCGTACCTACAGTTTTTGCGACGGGCGGAAGAGAACAGTATCGATTTCGCGTACAAGGCAAGAACCCTCGAACAGTCTTCGGAGGACGAGCTGCGTAAAAATTTGTACGACTCATGGCACGAAGGTGACGAGAATCCCTTGTTTTCCACTGCGCTCGCCTTTTCGGATGTCTCAAGCACCGACGAAAGCTTGGACGTGAAAGCCACAGTCTACTACAATCAGAGCACAGAAGCAAACTGCAGTATCGCCTGTCCGCTCGTCTCGAATGTTATGCGATTGGACGATGCAATCTATCGGCAGTTCTCTCCGGGCAACTCCGCTAGAGCCTTTCTCCGTCGCATGCCGGCCATCGATGTCAAACTTGACCTCGCAATTATTCAACTGGTCATTAGTATCACTCTCGGATTTACAAGCCACTTCTGGTTCCCTAGCTTTCTCCGCTTTCTGGTCTTCGAGCGCGTTTCAAGGCTCAGATCAATGATGAGCGTCATGGGTCTCAAAAAGTCTCAATATTTCTTCGGCACCTACGTTGGCCTTTTCTTGCAATACGCTTGCTCCACTGCGCTTCTCATCGTGATCGGTGCTGCTTTTGGTATCAGCTTCTTTGTTGATAACACTCCCGTTTCATATCTTGTTTTATTCTTCTTGTGGTATGTCATCACTTTTTTTTTTGTTCCTCGTTGACGTCAAAGACTCTATCTAGCTTTTGACGCTGTTTATATCTAACTCTCGTGTGTGTCGCTCTTGGATTCTTGTGTCCTTCCGCGATAATTTGATTTGATTTACTACTTGACAGGGGGAATGTGCTCATTGCATTGGCTATGGCTCTCGTCCCATTTTTCGACAATCCTGAAACTGCTCAAACGGTTGGATGGTTGTTCATCCTTCTTGTGAACATCGTAGGAGGGCCTTACTTGGGGCGCCGACTTGGGGATGACGGTACTGGCGAAGGAACTTGGGCTGCCATTATGCTTTTACCATCCTTTGCGTTTCTGAGAAGCGTTTACTACGCAGGTGCGCTTAACAGTGGCGGCCAGGGGGTCGTTGTTGGATCCGAATTTTTCACTGATGTGAACCTTGGGATGTGCCGGGGCGATGGACCCTTTTGCAGGTCTTTCGCTTATCTTGCCTGGCAGTGGGTTGTCCTCATGCTTGCAGCGCTTTACTTCGACCAGGTCCTCCCAAGTGCAGTCGGCAACCGCCGCCATCCACTATTCTGCTTTGGTTTCACGAGGGAGGCGAAGTATACCGAAGATGAAGAACTGACGGCATCCGACAAGGGGTCAGATGTGGTCGAGGAAGAGCGTCGCGCGGAAGAGATTATCCAAAATATCTCGACAAGCGGATTTGATGGAGTTGTCTTGCACAAGCTGTCCAAATCTTATCCGGCAAGACCACCAGTGAGAGCGCTACAGGACCTCTCCATTGTAGCCCAGAAGAACGAAGTCATATGCATTCTAGCGCACAACGGTGCAGGGAAGACCACAGCATTCCGGACCCTTATTGGCGAACTCGAGCCTACTTCCGGAACAGCATTCGTCAACGGCAGATCCATTCTCAGTGAGATGAGCGAGGTACACCGAAGCATGGGCGTGGCACCACAGCAAAACATCTTGTGGGATGTATTGACTGTACAGGAACATTTGTTCTTCTATGGACGTGTCAGAAACCTTTCCGGACAAGAGCTAAAAGATGCAGTGGAGAATGCCATGGATTCTGTGCAGTTAGCGTTTGCACGAAAGCGGAAAGTTCGCGCATTAAGCGGTGGAATGAAACGCAGGTTATCAGTGAGTATTGCGATGATTGGGAATCCGGAATTTATCATTTTGGATGAACCGTCAACCGGCCTGGATATTCTGGCAAGGGAAAAATTGTGGGAGGCAGTTGGACGCGCAAAACATAACAAAGCAATTATGCTCACGACGCACTCATTGGAAGAAGCAGAAACACTGAGTGATCGCGTCGCTATCATGTCTTACGGAAAGCTGAAGTGCATTGGAAAGGCAGAAGAACTCAAGATGCGATACGGCCGAGGACACCACTTCAGTGTATCTCTTCCAGCTGCCAAGGTACCAGAGCTTCATGATGCCTTGACGACCATTGCTCCTGGTGCACGAGTAGAAACCGAGTTAGGTGGAAACATTGAGTACGTCTTGCCGAAATCGTTCAAAATCCCACAAATATTCGCCCTAATGAACGAGAAGAGGGATGCTCTTGAAATCCGCGATTGGTCTATCAGCCAAGCCACATTGGAAGATGTATTTTTGGAAGTCACTCAACGCAGTGATCCAGAGAATCTCAAAGAAGGCGGTATGGTTGGTCCGTAAGGGAAAGACAGATCTCGGAAGAAGATTTGCGGCAGTTTCCCGCGTTTATAAAGTCGAGGATATACTATTATTGTGACATCGGCGTATTTTGGTGTTGAGGATAAAGCCAGAATGCTGTGTCATGGAGCCCCACCAGGAGAGATCAAAAGCTCTGGGTTCAACAGAAGAAACCCGGATCACGCTGTGCAGCAGTGTTTCAACGGCTCCAATATTTTTTGAACTGTACGTCATTCCCAGTTCTACGTGTGAGTATTAGATTGCTGGGCATCCCGCCTGCCTTTTACGTGTAGTCATCCAAAAAAATTTGCACTTAGGGTATCTCCAGAACGCTACTTGTGCAATGGTGGAGGTTTTAAAGGCCCATTTACCAATAACATGTAAACATCTGAAGCAGTAGTTCACTATTTGTCTGACATCACGAAACCACCTGCGGTGTACCCTGCTTTTGGAAAAGGTCCGGGCTCTTTGTAGCCCTGTCGAGAGTTCTCCGTCAGAGCCTTTCCGCCAACAGCTTCTCTTCAAAAATAAAATGAGTTATGGATTAAACAGCGCAGAAACGTTTCGACTTGCTTCTGGAATTCGCGGAAGAAGTGAAAGTGACTTTTTAGAAAATGGCTTCTGAAGATACCAACAGATACCACAGCCTCAACACCGGCTGTCTACATATTGATATGCTGTTAAGTACAAGGGGTGTTGGGGCCTTGCGATCAGCTCGACCCTGGTCACATATTGAGGTCACTAACGCATTATCAAGACGATTGGACACATGTGATAACAGAGTATCCGAGATTGCGAGGACGAGAGATGCCATCTGGACTTTGTGCTAGTTTTAATGTAACTCGATTCTTTGGAATGAAACCATTACACACCCGGGACTTTCTCTAATTTGTCAATCTCAGACTTCTGGTAACAAGACAGGAATGTGGCCGTATCCCAACTTATCTCGCTTGGTAGGCAGTATATGACGAAGAACCAGTATTTTGCGCCCGAACAAATCTTTTAATTGGGCTTTGCGGTAAAGGAAATGCCTTCGCCAATCTCAACGACTATTGCGTTGTATGATACAACTTGTATCATAACAATCATGCCTTCTGGCTTCAGAGCTCAGGATCTGGACAAAATCTCATACAAGTGGACGAATCCGGTTTCGGGTACGGTATGAGCCCAGTGCGCCGTGGAGGCCCCGTGCGTTGAGCACTGGTGCATTTGGCTCATACATATCACTAGTAGTAGGATGCTTCCGCCTTACAGACATCAATCCATTTTCTACTATATTTCCACAAACATTACAGTTTCTCAAATCGATGACACAAATTGGCGGGAAGTGCTCCCGCCAAAATGTGAAACAAAGTCGACGCAACTGGTCTATCAGGCGTGGGTGGGGCCGGGCAGACTTCGTGTGGGGGGGCCACAGCCGCTTGTACTCCTAACTCTAAACCGATTGCGAGGGTCACACACATCGTTCTTGTTATCACCGGACGAAGCATCTCTGACCCGAACCTTTAGAGCAGCCAACAAGCAAGGTTCCCGATCCCCTGAAAAGGACTTTCGACTCACACCTTGATTCCAGAGCCATTCACAGCTTGTTTCCGTCTCTATCGTTCCTTCAACATCTTTTGGATTCATTCGAGAAATTTACTTGCTAATCTAAGACACGACACGTTGGCAACAATCCGACCGCAGAACCCTTTTTGAAACTACCGGCAAGAAAAAAATGGACGGCTACGATGAAGGGACCGTCTACTACTCGTACCAGAACCAAGAGGACGAGGCACAGGCAGCGTCTGGTTCTGCGGCAGAGTCTGGACGCGGGAACATTCTTTCGGCTGTGGAGGTTCGCCGTCGATTCAAGGCATTCGTACTAGGCTTCGCTAACGAAAGATACCGTTACACATACCGAGACCGTCTTCGGGCCGCTGTGAATGCTGGTACTCTCTCTCTCTCTGTCGAGCTGGCCCATCTCACACATTTCGATGCTCCACTTGCGGCTACCATTCGCGAAGGACCGGACCGAGCAATTGTCCAGGCCGAGCGAGCAGCCACTGAGGCTGCTGCCGTGCTTCAGAACACTGCCATCGAAGATGTCATAGCAACTGATGGACAACGGGAAACCCCGGCCCAGCCTCAAGATCGTCCCAGTGGTACTGCCGCTGATCAAGATGACAATGCTCAAAGTGCCTCTTTGAATGATATCTCCCGCAGAGGAGTACAAGTCATTTTGCGAAGCAATGAAACTGGACGAGAAATCCGAGCTCTAGGATCTTCTGATGTTTCCAAGCTTGTTGCTGTGTCCGGAATTGTGATCGCGTCTTCCAAGGTTCGCTGCAAAGGAACAGCTGTCGTTCTGCGATGCAGAAACTGCAACGACAAAATCACAGTTGGTGTCAACCCTGGCCTCGGAGGGTTTGCAGTGCCGAGAACTTGCCGCCGTGTTTTAGGTGAGAATGAAGTCGACTGTCCGCTTGACCCCTACGTAGTGCTTGCAGATGACAGTAAGTTCATGGATAACCAGACTCTGAAGCTTCAAGAGCTGCCCGAGTGTGTCCCAACAGGAGAGATGCCTCGAAGCATCAGTCTCAGCTGCGACAGGTATCTCACAGATCTTGTGAGCCCTGGCGTTCGAGTTGACGTGATTGGTATTTACTCGGTCTCCGGGGCGGCAGCTCCCGGTGTTGGTCGTGGCAATAAGCGAATGTCCTCGGGATCTAGTCTCTCGATTAGTGCACGGGCACCTTATCTGAGGGTGCTGGGGCTCAAGATTCGGGAAGGGGCAGGCTACTCTGGTAGCAGAACGGCAGTGTCTTTTGGATTTGAAGAAGAAGAGGCCATGCTGCGTATTTCTCGCACTCCGGGACTTTGCGATATCATTTCTAGAAGTGTAGCACCGGAAATTTTCGGACACAAGGATATCAAGAAGGCCATTGCTGCCCAACTTTTCGGCGGTGCGCTGGATAAGACCTTACCGGATGGGATGCGACTGCGGGGAGATATCAATGTCCTCCTCCTCGGAGATCCAAGTACTGCGAAAAGCCAAATGCTCAAATACGCTGAACGCGTGGCCCCAATCAGCGTGTACACCAGCGGAAAGGGAAGTTCCGCTGCTGGCCTCACCGCTAGTGTTATTAAGGATAAGGCTCACGGTGAGTTCCATCTGGAAGGCGGTGCAATGGTTTTGGCGGACGGAGGGCTTGTCTGTATTGATGAGTTTGATAAGATGCGGCTTCAGGACCGAGTCGCCATCCATGAGGCTATGGAGCAGCAGACCATCTCCATTGCCAAGGCAGGTATAACTGCAGTTTTGAATGCAAGGTCAGCCGTCCTTGCCGCGGCAAATCCCGCTTTCGGAAGGTATGATGACACAAGATCTAGTGCGGAGAACATTGAATTTCAGAGCACTATTCTCTCGAGATTTGATTTAATCTTTATTGTTCGAGATGTCCGTGATGATGCAAGGGACAAGATGATAGCAGAGCATGTTTTGAGCCTACATCAACGGGGCTCTGAGAAGACCAATGGATCACGCTCTGGTATTTTTGGAAAGGGCAGCTCTGGGAAAGGAAACGCGGGCAGAGATGGAGCCGAACTTGATGTCAATGATGGTGCAGCTTACGGAGTCATCGGCGAAGGAAATGAGGCTCGCCTGGATATCAATTCTCTGAAACGTTACATTGCTTACGCTCGCACACGCGCATCACCGAGGCTCTCTGTAGAAGGCGCCGAGCTGTTGCGCACCAATTATGTATCTATTCGGGAGCAGATGCGAGCAAAACAACTAGGAGATGACGAGGAATCTGGCAATACAGTTCCTATTACAGTGCGACAACTGGAAGCCATTGTGCGCATTTCTGAGGCGTTGGCAAAGATGACGCTGGACTCAACAGTCACGGAGAGACACGTGACTGAGGCAATACGCTTGTTCAAGGTGGCAACTCTAGATTCTGCAAATGCTGGTGCGATTCAATCTGCAGAGGGCGCACTTCGCCCAGATGTTCGCCTAGATGTTCAAAGGGTAGAAGCAGCGTTGAAGAGAAGACTAGCGATCGGGTCTATGGCTAGTGAAAGACGACTAATCGACCATTTTCTTGATGAGAAATACTCTGAATTTGCCATTCGGAACGCGATATTAGTGATGATGCGGCGCGGAGACTTGGAATATAGGCGACAGCGCAAGTATATTTACCGATCACAATGATCGATATTGAGCTATGCTGCTTTAAGAGTAAACGTATGTGAAAGAGACAAAGCATGTTCCATTTCTTTGCTCATCGCGCAATGAAGACGTGCAGTGGACCTCGAGGGTTGGGGCCATATCTATTTGTCTTTCCAACGGCTGGAAACCGTTTGACCAAGTATACACCCGCGGAAATACTGTACTCGAATGCTTCACTCACGTGGCTTGCGCGCCCTTCATATAGAACAAGAGATGATGATGCTAGATTGCGAATGCGCGTGCTTCTCGTGAAGGCTCTGCCCGAATCCCTTTTTTTCCATAGAAAATTTGTCAGCCCGAATGGAGAACTAACTTAGGGGTGCTTTTGTCCGTTACTTCCGTCATGTTTCTTGGCCGTATAAGAAGAATTATTGTTTGGAACAGTCCAGGTTCGGGGTTCCTTCCCGTCTGCAGGAAAACGGCTTGATGTTCGTCTTCTACTGATCTATGTTTGTGAGGTATGCTTCTCTCCGGCATCTCTATCAGTACTCTGACGTGTCCAACTCCACTAGTTGCTCTGTGTACCCCCTTTCTCCCGCTGAACCTTTCGCGCGAGCTTTCCGAATCGTAGCATATATTGCTTCGCTTTTACACAGAGTCTGGTGTCGCTTTGGGCAACTAAAATTTTACATCATACGCATGTGAATCCTCTCAAAAAATTGTTCCACTGGGGCCAAATATTGCTACCAATACCTTCTTTCATAAGTCGAAATGAAATTACACAACCAGTGCTCCACAGCCCGAGAGCAGCAATCGCACGTTTGCACTTGCTTAGCTCTGGTCACACTGACTGTGCGAGTCTGTAAGCACTGGGCCTCCCTGACCATTCTAATTGGCTTCTCAAGCCAGCAGATAACCATCTCTGAGCAGGCTTGGCGCGTCAACTTACATTCATCTCGAGTACGGAAGCTATTCTTTCTGAAAAGTGACTTGGATTAACTAAACGAGCACCAGATTTAGCCACTAACTTCTAAAATCGTCTTGAAAAGTCTCCGTCCCAATTCTGATGGTTGAGGGTTTCTCCTGGCAACCAACAGAGAACAGTTGGATGCAACAAGACCTCGAAGGGAAGCCGCCCTTTGATGGTTGAAACGTATGTTACGACGCGTTTTTTATTCAATGAGCTTTACTTCAGAGACTATATCACGGGACAGTAGCCAAACTTCTTCCCTCGACCTCAGCGCAAATCGACTAGGCACAAACAAGGCAATGATCTATAAACAAAGGCACTTGGGACATAGTTGAGGTATTACCAGAGTGTACTAGAGGGACTGCGAACGATAAAACAAGTGTTGCAGTACATTGCTGCCAGCGCATAACGCCCGAAGCACAAAAAGCACGTCACAATTTCTTGAAAGCAGATAGCAACAGAGACTTTGAAAAGCGTTTTCTCATTTTAGACGCCCATCATCATTCTCACCTCGTTTTGGGTACAATTTTCTATCGAAAGGGCCCATCGTATTCTTTCGTGGTCTTGTAAAACTATATGGCTTTGAGGGTAAAGAGGTAAGCCACATGTTTATCATCTCAGTACGTGGAACAATAGAGCTTTATTGGGTACAGTGCATCCAAATACCTTGCTCCTCATGTTTTAATGCTCACGTTCAATTCTGGCGATGTGTATAGAATATTGCTTTCATTTCAATTTAAAAGACTGGAGGCGATCTGCTTTATGTAGGGAGATTATCGTACAGTACAGTGTGATGGCATGAAACGTCCCAAAGGACATATTTAGAACAATACTCACTGTCGTATTGAGAGCTCTCACGTGATGAATAGGCTCAGCATATGTGCTGCTTCAGTGGAAACTTACACCCATGATTGCTGCCCAATGCAACAAGCACACAATACAGATCACCGTCACGCAACCCTGAGTGAATATGTATTCGGTTGCGAGTCAATGTAGTAGAAAGGGCACATTTCGTCTTTTGCTGCAAGAACAAATGCAGAAGCTTTTGCTAAACCCGATAAAAAAGTCAAGTCGAGTTTCACTCTGACAATTCTGCAATCTTGCCATTACAGTACTGAATGAAGGCCTTTTTTCGCACCTTCATGTTGTGGGCTTTTGGAAAGATTTGAAAAAAGAATTTTGGTGTGCCTCTGCACTCTGTACAGTAAGTACTGTATGAAGGGTACCTGCAGTATGAAAGTCCCAGGGCAGACACCCCCAGATATCGAAGATATCTACATACAGACGAAGGGTATACAGTGCATGGCAAAATGCGCAGTCGTTTCGATGAACTTTAACACGCATTTCGCGACTGAACTGGCCGTTTCTTTGAGGATCCCGGGAACATAAAAAAATTGAAATTTTATCGCAACTTTTTTTTTGCACCATTGCAATCTGCTCGACAACCGGCTGCCATTGGTGAAAGTTGCAAACCAATCAGAGAACCATGTTGAGAGAAACTTTTTTGTGCCCGTGTCCGGCACTTCGAAGCAATTCTCGAATATTTTGTGCCGTCACTATCACCAAGGGAAATATTAGAAAAACACGATCTCCGCGAATCTCGCAAGGAGCTGCTATATTTGCAAAAACTACTAGTGTAGGTGGATGTATCAGATGAAGTGCTTGTGATAGGCCCTCAATCGCCCTCAATCTTTCAGTCTAGTGTCTAGACGGAAGCGATTTGACCTCATATGAGGCCAGCTTTTTTTTTTGCAAAAATATATACATTAAATCGAAACTTTAAAAAGTCAGTTTGGACACCATTTCTTTAACGTATTTGCCCTCGGCATTAACATCTTGCAAAACATTGGGATGGCAGTTTCCAATGCACAGAGAGACTAAGAATCTAATGAAGTTTCAATGATGAGTTGGCTTTTTAAACAGGCGTTTTGGTTTCGAAGAAATCAACATAAAACGTTTTGAGGTTGGTCAAAAAGGCTCCTTTTTTGGGCATTTTAAAAATGGCTGGAAAAGACGTGCAGATCTCACCAAACTCCGCCCTTCCGCAACGAAGAAGTCATCTGCGGTAGCGAGAGTATCTTTTTCCATCTTGTTGAGCTAGCGCAAGTAGAGAAAAAATAAGTTGAAAAGTGACCTCATATGAGGTCATTTGTCACCTAGACACTAGATAGCATGATCGCTAAGATGTTGCTTACTGTAGGAAGGTGGTAGTACGGGGGGAAGTAAGTTGGTCAGACGGAGACCCTTGCCATTTTAAGTACGATGTAAGGCTGGTACCTCACTGCAAAGACACCGCCCTGTCTTTAAATTAAGCTAATCCATTTCGATAGTGGCGGGGGTACAGAAAGGCGAGTGATTTTAATTGTTGTTAGTATTCTTACGAGTTGGCGTTTAGATGGACAAGCATGAGATGCGTATTTACTACACCCTTAGGTATTGGAAATCATGTATAACCATATGCTTCCAGCGTCTATTACCCGATTATGTAGCATGTGTACTTCGTGTGTGAATATATGGTTGTTTTTACGCAGGCACTCTTAATAACATTGGCTTCTGCGGCGAACAGAAAACGAGTTTGGAAAGAACGAGTGATAAGGAGATAATGAAGACGATAAAAGCAGTGTAGGGAGCCAAAAAGACAGGGTTCGTCATATCTTGTGCCTACACGATAGTAGATCCGTCGGGTAGATGAGCTTTAACCGCTGATGAGACTGCCGTTCCAGTTCATGTTGCGTATTGCAGCAGGTTTTTTTGCGTTAAGAGTTGCTGTCGGACCAGTTAAGCTCTAATACCAGTGACTACTGTACTGTAATATACAGTACACGATGGATGAGATGCGAGCAACAAGAGTTGCACGAGAAAGTTGAAAAGAAGTGCTGCGGGTAAGATTGATACCCCTTGCAGTTGCTACTGTATCTACAGCAACGGGGCGCATGGACATGGCAATTGGACAGGACAGTAGGCTTGGGTACTGTACAGTATGTAGAGTAGAAAGTGTCGTCTACACTGCAGTGAGGTTGAAGCTAGCGAGAGTGGGCGACTGTATGCCGAGGTGTTCTCCTACTGCGAGGGTGTGAGTTTGCTACACATACAAGTACTGTGATGAGGGTAGAGAGTTGAAATGACAT